CAATGTTATAGGTGGCCAGAAATATTGGCACTATTATTGATGGGCCCATCCTAATAAGTTTCAGAAAGTCAAGGAAACCAAATGCAACAGAAATCTACAGAGTCAAAGGCATTGGGCCTTCTAATGAAAATAATTTCAGCTCAATCAAGTGAATACTGTACTCTTATCTCAATATTTTCCAAGAGTAAACACTTTATATCAGTTTTAAAATGCCGCTGTCATTTTCTAATTGTTTAAATTCTAATTTACTTTTGGGTTCTGTTAAAAATATTATATATAAATACAGTTTGTAGAGAAAAATATGACAGTAGATATAGTGGCAAAAGGAGCACTGTGGTAACCCCAAGCTTTGGTTCTGGTCCTGCCTCTACCATGAACTAGATATGTGACATTGGTAAATGCACTTAATTTCTCGAGACTGCAATGCCCTCACCTATAAAACAGGGTTATTGGCCTTAATTATCTCTAAAATTCCATCCAGCACCAAAAATCTATGATGAAAGAATTCTAAGATTTGTGCTTACTTTAGGTCATAGAGGTATTATCAACTTTTGGTTAAGGTGCCACAATAAGTTCATGCTTTTATGTACTCCCTCTGCTCCAAACATATAGAGATGATAAGTAAAATACTAAAAGAGAAAACTAAAAAACACCTCCAGGCTCAAAAATAAACTTCTCCAAGGACCAGAAATGGTACAGAAATGCAAAGTGGTGATTGAGTGTGAAGCCATAGGCCTGCTGGTTTCTGGCTGCAGGAGCAAGCAGTGGTAGCTGGGAACTGGCTCCAACAGGCTTCACCGGAGCCAGGAGAACCTAAGCCAAGCTGACTGCTTGATGCCAAGGGTTGAGATGGGATGTACATGTTCATGAAAAGAGGCTGAAAATAGCTGTGCCCATTGCTTTGTGGGAAAGCTAGTGAGTGGCGGGGTAGGGATTTGAACCCAGGCAGCCTGGCTCCAGCACCAGTACTCTTAATCACAATGCCATAGTGTTCTTAGTCTCTGGCTCAGACAGAAGTTCCACTTCTTGATATAAACCCTAGTGTAACTCCCTAGAATATCAAGGATGTTTTTATAAGAATTTCCATTGCAGTATTCTTTGTAAGCATGAAAATTGGAAACCAAATGCCTTTTATCAGGATAATGAACAAAGAAACTGTGAAATAGTCATCTAAAGGAATATTATACAGCAATTGAAATAAATGATCTCACCACTAGACTCTAGCACTACGTGTATCGACATCAATAATCTGAAAAATATGTTGAGAAAAGAGAACATGTTGTTGTTATTAGTTGCTGTTGATTCAGCTCTGATTCATGGTGATTCCATGTACAACAGAACAAAATGCTGCCTGGCCCTATGCCACCTTCACAGTTGTTGGTATGCTCAAGTCCACTGTTGTGACCATTGTGCATTCTGAGTGCCTTCCAATCTAGCGGACTCATCTTCCAGAACTACATCAGATAAAATTCTGTTGTGATTCATAGGGTTTTTATTGGTTAATTTTCAGATAAAGATCACCAAGCCTTTCTTCCTAGTCTGTCTCAGTCTGGAAGCTCCACCGTAACCTGTCCACCATGGGTGACCCTGCTGGTATCTGAAATACCAGCAGCATAGCTTCTAACATCATAGCAAAATACATGCTAACAAACTGACAGACAGGTGATGGGAAAGAAATTTAGCAAGTAATAAATACTACAAAGAAAATATAATAGAGTAAGACAGTGATTGGTGGGATGGGTGTAATGTATTCCAGGCAGATCTTTCTAAGGAAATCACATTTCACCTGAGGTTTGAATGATCATAGAAGTTAGCTGTTTGAAAATCTGTGGAAGTGCGTTCTAGGAAGAGTGTATGGCAAGTACAGAGGCCCTCAGGTGGAAATGAGACT